GTGACTAACAATCGATAGTGGGAAATGTGTAGCTGTCAATGCATGACAAGGGAAACTGGACCGAATACCAATTGCATGTTATATAGTGATTAGGCCTCAGTTAGAATGTGTGGACTGTATGTGGCACAGGCACCATGGGTCAAGGGATCTGAATGTTCCTTGACCTGGCTCTATATTTCCATTCCTCCATGTGGACTAAAAAGACCTTCAGTGAGGGTCAAGCCCCGAGTAGGAATAGTCAATCTCAAAGTGTGAAAGCCTTATGAAGAGGAAGACTTGGAGCTGGTAGACATGTGAGGGAACAATCCACAGTAGATAGTGGGTCTGGACTACACTGCAAACATAATGAGAATGATTTCACACTGATGTTGAAACTTTGACACTAGGGAAAGTATGAAACTGCAGTGATGCACTGAACGTTCCCTTAATGTCCTCCTTGTTTTTCTCTAAAACAAATCATCACCATAGGAAAGAAAACCAAAACAGAAATATGTGACTCCACCTCTTGTGAAGATGCAAAGGTCGCACCATCACTTGCCCCTCCCTTATCCTCCACCTGATCAGTTACACTCAGGGGTTTTGGAGAGTTTGCATATAGAACCAGCAGAATATGCTGATAATCACTTCACAGATATGTCCCAGCAGCTGAAGGTGGCAGTGTCAGTTAGGGTCAATGACAGTGAGAGAACTGCTGAGGATCAGGCCCATGCTGAGACATGATAAGACTCTGATCTCAGCAGGAATAAGGCTGCTAGACATACAGAGAGGGGCAAAGGAAACTCTGGCAGAGATCATGCCAAATCTTGCATAGACAATGGAGGATTCTGAACAAGCACTGAGTGTTGTCATGTGGTGCATGGCTTCCACCATGAAGATTTTGGCAACTGGGCTCCTACATCCCTCTAAAATACTTATGCTCCTCCAGTCCTGGCAATTTTAGCCGCATCAGTTTTGATTGCTACATGATTGACAGCTATGACTTCAGCTGCCACAGTCCTGAGCTTTGGAGTTCCCTCCTTAAATCTCTTTGTGTTTTTATCTTCCTCCTTTAAGATTCTCCTTAAAAAATCTTTTAAAAAGCATTTGCTCATCTGTACTAACTCATTTTGTGCTCTGTCCGGTTTTGTTCAAGAAAGCTCCTTTTGGAGCTTTTTATTACGTTAAAAAAATAAACATTTGCATTTATATTGTGCTTTTCACAATTGAAGTGCTTTACAGCCAATGAAATAATTCTGAAGTATAGTCACTGTTTTAATGTTAGAATATTAGCAACAAAATGTACACAGTGAAACTCCCACAGACAGTAATGTGATAGTGACCAGACTGGTTTGAGTTTACAACACAACAGTGTGCTCAATACACGGACTTTATTAAATTGAAGCTTAAGATGCCTGCCTGCAGAGTGTTTGCCTCATGATAGAGGTCCCATGAGTATGTCAGACTAGGATAGACATTTCTACATAATTACATTTCAATCCAAACACAATCTGCAGTGATTTTAATGAGGTCAGCCAGTTGGACATCATAGAATATGAGCTCTCTGATTGGGGCTGTTAATCTGGTCCAATCAGGGAGTCCTGGCTGACAGATATAAACAGGAGTATCAGACCTGACACTCTGGGAGCTGGCTCTGAGGAAGCTGGACTAGTGTCAAGGACTTTCCATGTGTAAATAAATGGTGACTTGGTGACGGTATACTGGCCTCTGTGGAGTTATTTTGCAATCTGTTTTTGGTAATGTTGATTAAGGGACAATTATCAGCTAGGGCATGTTGGTCTTTTTCAAAATAGTGTCTTTGTACCCTCTCCCCTCTCCCCAGGTAGGACAAATGGGACCTTGATTTAACATCTCCTCTAAAAGAAATGCCACCAATGGTGAAACCCTTGCTCCATGTACTGGAGTGTTGGCCTTAATTTCTGTGCTCAGTTTCCTTCAGGGATTCATTTGGGATCCAGAAAATGCCTCAACAACTGTTTCTCAGCCATATGCCTGTACCCTCCATCTGCGCCCATGATCTTTGACTTCTGGATGAGGAGTGTTATCATTGTCCTGCAGTCGATTGCTGCAGAGTGTAATGTGCATGTTTCCAGGATGACCTGTGGTCACAGAATAAAACAAACTACCAACCCTTCTCACAGAAATACTGTCCCACCAACTGCTAAAAATAGAAGTGGTCTGCATTATCACATAACCACTTCCAGTTTCTGCTCTGCAAGAAGTTTAAGCTGGAGCGCAAACCTGAAAAGCTTCGGCTGTACTTTGTTCCTCATCATCATCTCCCGACTTCCTTCACACAAAAAAAAATCTCTGACCAGAGCAGTCAACATGGGCCAAGAATTTGCTGTACACACATACTGAAGCTACACAAAGAAAATCCCAGAAGGATGGCTCAATGAGGTGTTGGTAAGCACTTTGGCACCGAGAATGGAATATCAAACCTGAAGTATTTAACCGCAAAAGCCATTCGGCAATTAATTTTTCTCTTAGCTATATCTGACAGTAAATCAAAGCCTTGAATGTGATGTAACCTCTCAGCGGTCATGCCAAATACAAACATGAAAAGTAAACATTAAATCACTAAAATATTGCAGGTGAAAGCTGCCATCCAAAAATGTGTGACTGGGATCAAATTGGAGATTTAAAGGTTTTAAGCACCTCTAACTCAACCCCAACTTGCTGTCTTCTAGAAATAGCAGAGGTGGGGAAGTAGCAGGCAGCCAAACCAGTTCATGAGGCTGAATGGGAAAGTTGAATGTTTTAATGAGGTTCTGAACATCTAATTTAACCTCAGCAACTTTCAGCCAGGAAGCTAGACAGCTATGGAGGGAGGTTTAATGTTTTATCACCCTCCCCCCCTTAACTTTGTGTGGCCCAGGAACAGCAGGCGTGCTTTCGCTTGGTTCATAAGCTCAGATCGTCGGACCAGATCAGCCTCACTAATGCCCTGTGCACCCCATAAAAATACACCAAGCTCTCCTGCAAGATGATAAAGCTTCCCCTGATGTGAGTTTGCCTTTAACAGGGTGTTTTCATCCAGTGTGAGAAAACAAGACTTCCTCGGGATGCACATTGGACTCGACTGGCAAAGGACAACACAATCAGGGGCCTAAGATCACCCCACCATCTCCCACTGGATCAGATACTCTGTACTCACAGCTGTGGATCTGATCCACTCCCTTCCCAGGTTTGTGGGTCACTGGTACTACGCCTCCTATCCTTACCCCTGGATTGTAGATCAGATTGTATATATCTGATCTTACAGTCTACTTCGGAGCTGTCCCTGTCTGATGGTAAGTGAATCAGGGACAGAAGCTACATGCTAAAACTCCATGATTTAAAACTCCATCTAAGGCATGCAAGAAAACCTGGACTACTTTGTTTGCTGTCTGAAATCCCACCAGCCCTTCTTAAGTATACCAAATACATCGTTAATATCCTGATTAAATATAGGTCATTTACATGAAAGCTGGATTACAACACAAGTAAAGAGGATTTACGATCACCAATGCTTATCCATTTCGGGAAGTACAGTGCACAGGAACTAAGACTAAGCTGTGAGATTTTGTGTGCATGAAAATGTGCACTTACAGTTTGGCAGTTCCATATTTCCCATGGTGTCTCCACATTTCCAAGTTTGGAGAACCTCTGAAGTAAAGGGTGACAGTTTTTGGCAGATTATGTTACAACCCCACCCAGTTCCATGGTAACTGATCAATGCTGATGTGCAATAAACTGGATTATTCATTCTGCTCCTCACATTGTCGTAGAGTCATAGAGATGTACAGCACGGAAACAGAGCCTTCTTTCAAACTCGTCCATGCCGGCCAGATACCCTAAATTAATCTAGAGATAGTAGGAACTGCAGATGCTGGAGATGAAGGGTCTAGTCCCGAAACGTCAGCCTCTCTGCTCCTATGATGCTGCTTGGCCTGCTGTGTTCATCCAGCCCTGCACCTTGTTGTCTAAATTAATCTAGTCCCATTTGCCAACATTTGGCCCATATCCTTTAAACCTTTCCTATTCACGCACCCATTCAGATGCCTTTTAAATGTTGTAATTGTACCAACCTCCACCACTTCCTCTGGCAACTCATTCCATATATACACCACCCTCTGCGTGAAAAAGTTGCCCCTTAGGTGCCTTTTAAATCTTTCTCCTCTCACCTTAAACCTATGCGTTCTAGTTTTCGACTCCCCTACCCTGGGGAAAAGACTTTGACTATTAACTACGAAACTCAATGCACTGACCAATAAAAGTAAACGTACCAAATGCTTTCTTCACTGCCCTGTATACCTGCGACTCCACTTTCAAGGAACTATGAACCTGCACACCCAAGGCCACTTTGACCTTCCTTTCCTGATGTGGAGGCGTCAGTGTTGGACTGGGGTGGTCAATGTCTGAAACCATACGCTCCAAAAGTTTGTGATTTTAAATAAACCTGTTGGACTATAACTTGGTGTTGTGTGACTTCTGACCTCCCTTTCTTCTGGTTCTGCAAGAAAAATAACTTCTCTGGTGAATCATAACTTAGTTGGTATCTTATGATGGATCATTTCTTGCTATCTCACATTAATTGAAATATATTATATAAGTGCTCTGGCTGGATTTGAGTCATACCAATATTGTAGGCATTTAGATTACTCGCTGTTCAGGGCTAATATTGAGCAGAAAACCATCAATACCATATAAACAAATTAGCACCTTTCAGGCATTTTCCCTGAGGCTAGACAATGTTCTACCTTGATGCCCTGATTGAGAAGTTTTTTTTTTGTGGAGTGACCCTGAATGTCCTTGATGCCTAAAGCTCCAGAAATCTTAATCCCCTGTTGCCACAAACACAGCACAGTTTGCAGAACTAATTAATATCAGATAATAGGGTTTGCATAAACTTTTACACATTGTTTGTAGCTCCCTTTGAACGCATTACAGTGGCACATTACAAATCATCATTGTACAGGAAGGAGACTTTGACTAATAAAACTCCCATTGTTTTTATTCAGATGAGCCAGAGTGAAGTGTTTATGAAGCACTGGCAAACAGATCATCTCAATGAGCAATGTCTTCATTTGCAAAAGAAAATTATTATCTGCCAAAAAGGTAAATAAAATTAAAATGACATAATTCAAATTATTAGCTTTCACAATCTCTCGATAACATGTTCTAATTTCAAATGTTCACAATTAAATAAAATAATATTTTAATTCTATAAAAATGTATGAATACGTATGTTTGTAATTTTATTTAACAGTTCAGAAATTACTAGACAAAATAAACCAAATGAATCCAGTGTAAGGAGCTGAAGTGTTATTAAATTTATCAGGGCTATTAATTGACTACAGTTTTTATTATCAGTTCACCAGTTAGCAGAATTGTGTTTCCTTCTGCATTATTAACTCATATGTTTTATTGTGTGAACTGCGGATCCGTAATTCTGTTCCATAACGGTAGTTGTCAGAGAATTTCTAGCCCGCCAGCGGCTGCTACAAAGGATGAACATCAAACAGCAAGAGGTCAACTCCGTTGAAAGCTTTTTGCAGTCTGCGGAAGATATGGGACTGAAAGCATATGATTCTTTGGTCATTCAAAATGCTTCTGACATTGCACGGGAAAATGACAGGATCAGGAATGAACTTAATGCAGTTTACCTGAGGGAAAAGTTGGAAGCACGATACCGAGACGAGCAGGCCATAAAACGGTGAGCATGAACTTCTGATATCACATTCATTGTGAGGGATGGTTACTGGATTAGTAAGAAGCCCAGAAAGACCTCCACTACATATATAAGTTAAAATGACACTGAAGAGTCAGATTAATAGTTTCGTGTATTACAAATAGAGCTATTCTAATAGACAAAAGATGCTAATTAAATACTGTAGTAAATTTGAGATACATCAGTGTACTGAAAGTTTTTAGGCTTAATGATTTGATTTATCAAATGTTACTTGAAGGGTTACATGTTCTGAGTGTTGATGCATTGCCACAAATCCAGTGAGCAGGTTCTGTTTAACACTCGAATGCTTCAAAGGCCAGGTTGCTTTTAAATAATGTTTTGCTCCAGTGAAAGAGTTAACCATTTTCTATCATCCTACTCGCCTGTTTCAGGGAGGCTTTCCGCATCTACAGCAGTCACATTATTGGCGGGAGTGCTTACTGTCATCTGTATTTCCTAATTGCAAACAGTAAAATAGATGGCACTGGGAGGATCTCAGCCCTCATCACAATACAGAATAATAAATTGTTTTGAAATGTGTTTCATTTTGACTCATAACCTGAAGTCTTCTGTGCATTAACATAAGTAAAATGTTTTAATTTGTACAGAGTAGAAATGAACAGGAGAAGACAGCCAGCATTCTGTGGATTTGTGTTTGACAGGAGTAGTGCTTCCACCCTCACTTCGCAGTGGGGGTGTTAGATGCTTGCTTGTGTGAAAAGCTGGTATTACTTTTGCATGAACAGGTTCATTGTTCTAAATCAGCATCTGGACATCATTTTAATTTCAGATCTGGCAACGGGAGTGGAAAGGTCAACGAAGACAGTCTTTCAGGCTGCCGAACAGCGAAGCATTTTCTCTCGAGCTCAGTGCCGGCACCTACCTTTGTCGATGGGTTGGCACATTCTGTGATTGGATCATCCATCAGATCACCCTCCCTTCACTCAGTATTCAGTATGGATGATAGCAATGGCCTGCAGTCACCACGGAAACAACCTCCTCCTAAACCAAAGCGGGACCCCAATACACGACTGAGTGCTTCATATGAGGCGGTGACTGCATGCATTTCGGCGGCTTCTAAAGAAGCAACAAATGAAGGTTTGAAGAATGATTGTTCGCATTGAAAATAGTGTAAAATTAGACTAAAATGGACAAATCTGCCTCATGATTAATCTGTCCATTTATGTGACATTTAGTAGTGTCATGGGTGATTTAACTGCCAGTCTATGATATATGTATCTTCTCAGGATATTGCCTTTTTATCCTGTAACTGAGACTCATATGATATTTCCTGAAAGCAGTGAATCCTAGTCAGCAGCTGCAAAATTAAAGTGATAATGGTACCATGGTGATGTCACAAAACATAAATAGCATTTTAGGAACATCTCAGCATCTGAGGAAAATTGTGAATATTGCGCCCAGACTGCCATCAGTGGTGTAAACACCATCCAGAAATTGAGGTAAATGTCTCCAAGACAAACATATATGTATATCATAGTAACTAGCAGCACAGGAGAAGGCAATTCAGCCTACTGTGTCTGTGCCAACCCTTTGAGAGCCATCTATTAGTCCCACTTGCCTACTATTTGGAACATAAAATTGTACAGTGAAGGAACAGGTCCTTCAGCCCATGATGTTGTGTTGAACATGATGTCAAATTAAGCTAACCTCTTCTGCTGGCCCTTGGTCCATATTCCTCCATTCCTTGCATATTCATGTGCTTCTCTAAAAGTCAACCCTACAAATGTTTCCCTTACAAATATATATGCAATTAGTACTGAATCTGCTCCACAGCTGTTTGAGGCGGTGCATTCCAGTGTATCTCAAAACTATCATAATGCCATGGGACAAACGGGATGGACGAGAGTGTCTTTCACTTACTGCCAATTTTCATAAATCCATGTGTATGTAGATACCAAAGAGGGAAGTTCTGTAATTTAAACATGGACAATAGAACATTACTTCTACTTCATTAGAATATTGTTTTAACTGTTTCAGACGTTATCAGAATCATAGCACTAGACAATACACCCTGTAATCTCAATCCCATGTATGCATATTAACTCCATAAAGGTATTTGCTAATTGTGTTGCTGCAGAATGGAGCCACACACAAAGGGACCATTGGTCAGAAGGGGACTGCTATTGTGCTGTAGCAGTGTCTGCAATCTGAACTTCATTTCTGTGCAGTTTCCTATTTGGGCCTTACATTTGGCTAATAAAACTTCTTTAATCCAATGACAACATGATTCACTCAGTGAATATTATAATGTCCACTGTGGTGTGCCAGAGCTAAATTCAAATATTTTACATAGTGCACACATTCTAATTAATCCCAACTGTATGTAAGAATGAATTTACTAATTTAATCCCAGTTGTTTTTCAAGGAATTCCATGCAATTTATTCTCAAATACAAAATAAACAGCGAAATAAATCTGACACCTAAAAAATTAACCAACGAGAGAATGACGTCCTGTCCTCAGCAGCATTCACACTATATATAAAAAAAGAAAGACTTGCAATTAAATAACACCTCTCCTGACCTCAGGATGTCGTGTACAGCCAATGAAGATCTTCTGAAGAGTTGTCATCAATTTACTGGCAGTTAATTTGTATTCATCAAGGAGCTGCATCATCCTTAACCACTCTTTTTAAATCTCCCTTTCATCTCAGTCTCTCCCTTTCCCTTTCTCTTACACATTTGTACTTTCTGCTGTAACTTCTGTGCCAAAGGAGTACACCAACTTTTGTTTTCTCTGGCATCCTTGATGTTTGTCGACAGTACCTTGAATTTGATCACAATTATGTGAAATATTCTTTGCTGCTTCCTACATTACAATGATGTTGCATTGACCATTAAGAACTCTTGACATCCAGGTGCTACAAAGTATTATATGTAAATGCAAGTGTTGATTAATTCCTTTTGCTGTCTCTCTCTTCAAACTTTGCATTTCACTGGAGCATCAACTTTTTAAATGAAAGTTATCCAACCTTAACTTTTGCGATGCTGAAATTATTAATCTCAGAACATCCTTATATGTTACAACAGATGAAAAACCTTGAAGTCAGTATTGCTGTTTTGAATATGGGGAGATTATATTGAGGCAGATTGGATGTGGAAGATCACACATTTGAATAAGATTCCAGTACATTTTCCTAAACATGGTCCCACAATACAATATTTTATTCAAAGGTTCAAAGGGGAAAATTCAAACACCACTTTTTGTGCTTCTGATGTAATGACATAGAAAGATAAACACTGATTTTGAGTTTGACAGTGAACAAGTTTGCAATCCAGGATTTCCAATCAAGAATTCAAACTCATCCCTTTCATTAAATGGGGAATATCACAGGGGTTTGTGACTGAATCTTTGATCTGGGCTCCTCAATGTCACCAGGAGCATTATAGACCAACGTTATAAGAGAAAACAATCCCCATATAATCCTCATTCTCTACCGCTGAAAGTGAAAGACAGTAGCCAACTCATCATTCAATCCATTATTGATTGTCCTCATAATACACATAAAATTTGCTTCTCCAATGTTTCTCTCACTATTGTTGGGAGATATCCAGAGAAACCAATAGAAATTCTTCCATCAAAACTTTCTGGCTCATTTTCTCAGCTCTACTCATCTCTCACATTCCATTTATCTGATCACCTCTGGAAATTGTTGCCCACGTCCCTTATCCTATGAGGAAATTAATTGGAAGTCTTTCCATTGTTCTGTGAATGCACTATTTGAGTGGTAGTCTTATTTTCTGAATCAATTATTTAAATGAACACAAGCTTTTTAAATTAGCAGTGCTTTTTAATGAAAATTCAACTACATACAATTGAATAAAGCGAGGTGTGGAGGTCAAAAAGTAATGAATTAATTAAGCAGTTAGGCTTCAGGAATTTAAAAAAATTGCTTGCAGAGAATGAACGGGAAATGTAACAGATTAATTAAGTAAATACAACAAGAAATAGGTGGGTAAAACAGTTTTACACTGAATGAGGAATAGAATAAGTCTTTTCAACAAAACAGCACACAGCAGCATTTACTAAATTCATTTAATAAAGATCAATTTCAGAGAAAAGAATTCAATAGAGGTGGAGGGATTAAAGTTGCTTTACCAAGAATTGCTAGGAAGTCCACCAAATAAATTAATTGAAGTCAGAAACAGCATTTCAATAGTCTAAATTGAGGGGGGAAGCTTGTCAAAATTAATTTAATAAGTAAGTGAACTTGAAGAATTCAAAATAGCCTTAGGCATCTGTGGAATGAAGTGAAAACATTGGGGTCAGTGAATTGCAAGTAGCCTTGTAGATTGTCAAAATTAATTAAAGTCACAGGCTTTATCCGACAAAATTAATTAAGTAATGAAGTGGTCTTTAAGAATTCATAATAGTTTTAGACATCACAAAATTAATTAGGAGATTACTCTTAAGTATGCAAAATGACCTTTTCACAACATTGGCTAAATAGCAAATGTATTATCTTATCATTTTTATTAAATTGATCCATAAATGTGACAATTTAGATCAAATATATTTCCAACAGGCAGATCAGAATATCTGGATTTATACTATCTGATTACATGGATTTGCTGACTTTAATGGATTTAGTCTTACAAACCATAAGCAGATTGCAATGGATGATTGTAATAAAGGGTGATTATCATTCTGTAAATAGTTTCTTGCAGGTCACCTTAAATGGTTTACTGAAAAGGAAATGTGTAATCAGATAACTGAAATCGTGGCTTCGATGATTGCATCCCAACAATTCTGACAGCCTATGGTCTATTGACTTTATTATTGCCCCTTTTTTTTCTGTGGTAATCGTGTGAATTGGATCTGACCCTGACACGACTGTCAGGCAACACAAGTGAATGAAGTGATTTGGATCTTTTTTACATGCCAATGCAAATCAAATCACCTGTGAAGCCAAATGGGAAACTCATCTGGTACATTCCATTCCATGACCTGGTGGTATCCAACCCAAGGTTCACCGTTCTAGAAGAGGTGGTTGTGGTAAATTTGAGCTGTGAATGATGGTATAAATGCTCAATGTATGTTTTGGGTAGGCTGAAGAACATGGTAAAGATGCAAGGTCGGTTCTTCCCCACTAGTCATACAATATAGTACAATCATACAGATTAGAAAGAGACCATTCATCCCATTGAGCAAGTAGCCTCTTTTTGAAATATTCCCATTTCCTTGCTATTTTCCCATAGACTTACATTTGTTTTTCCTTTCCAAGTTTACATCCAGTTTCCTTGGGAAAGTTAGCAGTGAAGCTGCTCCACTATTTTTCAGCCAGTGCATTCCAAGCCATAATTTGTGGTGCTAAAACAAATCCACTCATAATCCTTTGTCATTTATCATTAATCTATATCTTCTGGTTGCCAATCTTTCTGCCACTACAAATCATTTATCCCTATTTGTTCTGTTAAAAGTCTTTGTTGACATTGCTTTCTGTTCCTTTTAATTACTTAACACTGTATGCATCTCATCACTTTTGATAATTCTTCAAGGGGTGTGGATCTCACTGGCAAATATAGCATTTGTTGTTCATTCATAATTATCCTTGAGAATTTGGTCTTCTTAAACCACTGCAGTCCATGTAGTGTATGTGCATCCACAGTATAGAGAGAGGAGTTCAAGATTTTGACCCAATGACGGTGAACTATCAATTATGATCATTCTAAGTCAAAATAATGTGTCAACAATGTTGACTTATTCTAATCATTCTATGATTAACTGCTCAGGCAAAACCTCCTTAATATTATATTCTATTGTTTTTCTGATGTTGGGCTAAGTGCCTGTAATTTCCTATTACTTTTCCCTCCTTTCTTTGAACAATGTTAGGTTTGCTATCTTCAAAACAGCTTAGACAATTAAAAGGAGGAAAGCAAGGTAGAGAAATTCTGCAGCATTTATAATTGGGAATGCACAAGAAGCCAGAATGGCAGGAGCATACATATCTTGGAGCTTTAAATATGTTTAGAGGCGTTTATAGAAATAGGGAGGGGAAAGGCCATGGGAGGAGCTCAAAAGCAAGGATTAGAATTTTAAAATCAAGACACACTTAATTAGAAGGCAGTGCAAGTCCGCAGAGACAGGGGTGACTGGGGAGCAGAACTTTATGTGAGTTAGCTAAGGGCAGTAGAATTTTAGACATTGTCACATTTATGGAGGGTAGAATGTGGGAGACCAGGAATATTTTAGGCTTGTCAGGCCGAAATGAAACAGGATGTGGGTTTCAGCAAAAGATGAGGTAAGATGGGACAAAGTTGGATAATGTTATGGTGGTGGAAATGGGTAATCTTTGTGCCATCCTGAACATGAGGTTGGAAGCTCATCTCAGGATCTTGTGTGACACCAAGGTCATGAACAGATTGGTTTAACCTCAGTCAGTTGCCCAATCCAGACAATGGTCATGATGTCTCTGAGGGGGCATGGACCACAAGTTGTGGAGAAGCTGGATTCCACAAAAGTTATGGGAATGGGCCTAGGAGATTCCTATCACCATGTGGGAGTGGGTCACGTCAACAGTGCAGTGTGTAGACTCAATGCGTGCACATTTATCCTGTATGGGGGCCACTTTGAATCTTGCAATCTGACTCCAGGCACTATTTTTAAGTGGATACAGACTTCTTACAACTCCAAGAAAACGTGACCCTGTATCTACACGTTAATATAAACAACTCTACTACAAGCATCAAGTTCACATTTTATAGTGATCATTCTGGGCCTGAAGCCATGTTGGAGCCTTTGTTGCTTTGTTTTGAAATCTGCCTTTAAACACCTCTGCAACTTAACTTTTTCTGACATTTTCATTTATTTATAATATACCTGCTTCTCATGGGATCAAGCGCTGTCCTTTCTAAATGCTGTGATCAAAAATCTTGGCCTTGGCTTCCCTCCATATGCTTTGGCTGCATCCTGCCCATTGCTGAAATCTCCTGCTCTTAAACTAACACGATGCCTTCAAATCAAACCTTCAGTCTTTGAAAACAACTTGCAGTCTCTTTGCTAGTTGTGCTTGCAACAAGAGAGATTAAGCTCTAATTCTTGGTGACTCGATGACATGCCTCAAGAAGTTTGACAATCCTAGCCAGGGAAAAGAAGAATTAGCCAGGATTATGCATCTGATATATAGAAAGGTTTTGAACCTTGGAGGCAATTAGGAATAGACATTTTTATTAATAGGTCACTCCACTACACCAATCCTAATCACCCACCCTGTTCCCCACCCACGGCCCAACAACTTGCCCTACTGATGTCAAATGTGAAGATTAATACCTTATATATACACTTAAGTAATTGCAGAAAGGTTCAGTATTGAAGAGAGATTAGTTACTTTGAAATCCTGTATTTCAATAAGAAAAAGAGGTTTAACACAGGGGTGCATATCCAATCATTGCAAAAAGCTCCAGGAATATCAAACTCATTTGTGGTACGCATTGTACTGACAAATATTCAAGTAAATCAGGAGCGTAGGAAGTGAAATAATTGTTTTTTACTTCTTAGACCTCAACTTCTTTTTTTAAATCCACAGTTTTGACTAAACCAAGACCTCACAGCGATGATTACAGCACAATGAAAAAGATTCCCCCACCAAAGCCCAAAAGAAGCCCCAACACGAGACTGACAGGTTCATATGAAGAGATCTATGTAAGGAAACCATCTGTACCAAAATTCACAAGCACAATGACTAAAGGAGCACACAGCACTGGGACTATTCAACGCGCCGCATCTGCTGATGGGCCCCACTATGGCACATTGAGTCTCCATTTGTCCCAAGACGAGGATGTGGAACCTGTTTACATAGAAATGGGAGGGACCGGTGGAACTAGTGGAAATTATCTGGCAGAGGTGGAGAGTCCTGATCAAGGAGAATCTGTTTATGAAGAAATGAAATATTGTTTGCTAGACAGCAACTCAAGTACTTCCTTCTTTCCAAAGCAGGCAGCTTGTCCTCCCCTTCGCACAGAAATGAAAACCCCAACATTGCCTGAGGACTTCAGAACAGGCACCCCTCCCATGGCAGGCTGCCAGGAATTAGTATGTGATATTCCTCCACCATTTCCAAACCTCCTCCCCCATCGGCCCCCTCTACTTGTATTTCCTCCAACACCAGTACAGTGTTCCCCTGCTTCTGATGAATCGCCACTTACACCTCTTGAGGTGAAGAGGTTGCCAGTTCTGGAAACTAATTTGAATTACTCTGTGCAATCAGACGGCATATCATCTGCCTCTCAACCATATACAAGCCATCAAAAAGGAGAAAGTGATACACCACCGTCTCCTGGAGTAGGTGTGTTCAGTATATCAGGAAAGATGTCTCCACCCTCAACATCACCTCCTCTTCCTTCAATTCCTACACCCCCCTACAGACAAAGTTCACATTTTATTTTCCCACCAGACACTTCCACCTCTTGCTTTGCCAGCACAGGAAAACTAGCTATGAGCACAGATGCTCCCAAAGTACCTCAGAAACCTAATCCCCTACAAGGAGGGACCTCTATGAGCTCTGCAAGATTGCCTTGTTCACCAGTAAAAAGCTGCAGGACAGAACCTGGGAAGAGCCAACCTTCCTCAGCAGGGAGTGCATCATTATTTCCTTACTCTTCCGCTATTAATAGGCCAATTACCAGCCCACTTGATGAGCTGAACAGTCTTTTCAGCTCAGGGCGAAGTCTTCTTCGAAAATCAGCAGTAGGGATGAAGATACGGGAGCAAGCAAGTGAGTAATTTAACCACTGTTTGATAATTCTGAGGTTTTATACATTATTATCTGTATAATGATGTTCATCATGGTGCAACACCTGAGCTAGAAATATCAGACAAAATATTTTTCAAGTGGATGCAAAAATTCCTAAAGGATTGTTCAACAAAAAAAAAGCAAAGAATTTTTCCCCGCTGGCCTCCCCAATATTAATCCCTCAAAAAATATCTGCAAAACAGATTTTGTTTTTGGTTATCTATCTCAATGCTGATTTATGGAATCAAATTGTGACAGAATTAGCAGCCCAATAAAGTACAGTTGTGACCATAAAGCACTGTGAGATATCCCCAGATTATGAATGGTGCTACATCAGAGTACATTTTTTTAAATGGATTCATTGATCAACTAATGGTTATACCATCTGAGGAAGGGTCACTCAACCCGAAATGTTAACTCTGATTTTTTTCTGCACTGGTGCTGCCAAACCTGCTGAGCTTTTCCAGCAATTTCTATTTTTGTTTCTGATTTACAGCATCAGCAGTTCTTTAGGTTTTTATTTGCTTATAGCATCTGTATGGTTAAGAAACATCAAAGGAAACTAAACGTATTTTTTTCCATTTTGCATACAAAAAAATATGTAAATGTATAAATTAAGTGGTCCTCCCTTAATAAATAATTGCATAATTAACCTTGCATTCATAAGAACTTGCATTCATAAAATACTTTATCCCATCTTTAAGACATCTCAAAGTTATCTTCTCTGATTGATTACTTTTTGAGTGAATCACTGTTATTATGCAAACCAATCTGCACAGAGCTGGATCTCACAAAAATAATTGATAAAAGAGAGTGGTCCATTGTGTGCTGCTGGTTCCTGAAGTAATGTCAAGTCACTTTCTTGCTTCTCTCTGTAAAGGGAATGAGTCTCCAATCCAACTTTGCAAATAATAGTCACAGGGGGTTATGGTTGGAATAATAAATTAATGTTTAAAAGCAAAATGAAGAGGAAAAAGCTCAAAGTTTACTGGAAGAAATGCAAACGCGAAAAATACTTTTAGTTTCCTTTGATATTTAATAATGAGACAGAAGCTGTAAACATTGTCTTTCCACATTGTTCCTTGCTTCAAACTCAAGCTACAAATCCTATTGCTGCCAGTGCATGTAAAAAAGATGACAACAACAAATATTTCAATCTTAAATTAGCTGAAAATTTCATTGGAGCCACTTTCACTCTATGATAGTTACTTTGCTGGAAACGCTATACATGTAACCAGAATTCTTGCCACACCAACTTACACTGGCAGAGTGAGAGTAATTCCGTGGACAGTGTCAACCATTGTCTTAGAAGGTAAGGTGTCAAATACAGTGTATCAATTCTAAGAGCCATGGTCACTATCCAAAATCTTATCTTCTACTTGGCTTAAGTATAAAAGTAGGGAAGTGTTGCTACAAGGCATTCATGAGTCTGCACCTGGAGTATTGCATTCAATTTTGGTCTTCTTACTTAGGAAGGAAATAGTTGCATTGGAGGCAGTTTCGAGAAGGTTCACTGGATTGTTTCCAGAGGAGAGGGGTTTGTCTTAAGAAGGGAGATTGAGCAGTTTAGGCCTATACTCTTTGGAGTTTAGAAGAATGAGAGGAGATCAAATTGAGGTACTTAAGATGCTCAAGGCGATTTCACAAAACAGACATAGAAAGGATGTTTCCTCATGTGGGGAAATCTAGATTGAGTTGTCATAGTCTTGTAATAAGTAGTGACATATTTAAAATAGAGATGAGGCGACATTACTCATCTGAAAGTGTCATATATCTATGGAATTTACTACCCCAGAATGCGGTGGATGCTGGGACATGGAGAAGAGAAACAGATATTTAATTTGTAATGGGTTGAAGGATTATGGAGAGTGGGCAGGAAAGTGAGTTGAGGCCGAGAAGAGATCAGCCATGATTGTATTAAATAGTGGAGCAGGCTCAAGAGGCTGTATTGCCTCTTCCTGTTTCTAGTTCTTATGTTCTTACGTTAGCAGAGTGCATATATGGCTATTTTTGGGCAGCTAATCAGAATATTTTAATTCAACTTACAGCGAGGTCCAGATGGTAGTGTAGAGGTAATGTCACTGGGTTAGTAATCTAGAGAAGCAGTCAATCACTCTGGGGACATGGATTCAAAAACAGGTGGTGAAATTTAATTTCAATTAATATACAGGAAATGGCAGAACCTTTAGTAACATCAACATACAGAGGGATCAAGATGTACATGTCCACAGTTCCCTGAAAATGACAACACAAGCGGATAAGAGATTTTAGGAACTGCAGATGCTGGAGAATCCGAGACAACAAGGTGCAGGGCTGGATGAACACAGCAGGCCAAGCAGCATCATAGGAGCAGAGAGGCTGACGTTTCGGGCCTAGACCCTTCATCAGAAAAGGGGGAGGGGAAGGGGGTTTTGAAATAAATAGGGAGAGAGTGGGAGGCGGATAGAAGAGGGATAGAGGAGAGGATAGGTGGAGAGGAAACAAACAGGTCGAAGAGGCGGGGATGGGGCCAGGAAAGGTGAGTGTAGGTAGGGAGTTAGGAAGGGGATAGGTCAGTCCAGGGAGGACGGACAGGTCAAGGGGGCGGGATGAGGTTGGTCGGTAGGAGATGGAGGTGCGGCTTGAGGTGGGAGGAGGGGATAGGTGGGAGGAAGAACAGGTTAGGGAGGCAGGGACGAGTTGGACTGGTTTTGGGATGCGGTGGGGGGAGGGGAGATTTTGAAACTTGTGAAATCCACATTGATACCATTGGGCTGCAGGGTTCCCAAGCGGAATATGAGTTGCTGTTCCTGCAACCTTTGGGTGGCATCGTTGTGGCACTGCAGGAGGCCCAGGATGGACATGTCGTCTGAGGAATGGGAGGGGGAGTTGAAATGGTTCGCGACTGGGAGGTGCAGTTGTTTATTGCGAACCGAGCGTAGGTGTTCTGCAAAGCGGTCCCCGAGTCTCCGCTTGGTTTCCCCGATGTAGAGGAAGCCACACCGGGTACAGCGGATGCAGTATACCACATTGGCAGATGTGCAGGTGAACATCTGCTTGAAGCGGATAATGTAGTCAAGAAGGCATATAGTATGCTTGTCTTCATCAATCAGAACGTAGAGTATAAAAAATGGCAAATCATTTGTACAGAACTTTATTTAGGCCATACTTGGATTATTGTGTAGTTATTGTGCAGTTCTGGTCACCACACTACCAGAAGGATGTGGAGGCTTTGGAAAGGGTACAGATAAGGCTTACCAGGATATTGCCTGGATGAAGGGTATTAGTTATGGGGAGAGATTGGACAAACTTGGTTCATTTTCACTTGACTGTCAAAGGATGAGGGGTGACCTGATAGACATTTACAGAATTATAATTGGCATGGATTTTTTCCCAGTATAGAAATGTCAGTTACATGGGACATCGGTTTATGGTAAAACAGGGCTAAGTTTAAAGGAGATGTGAGAGGTATGTTTTTTTACACAGAGCATGGTAAGTGCCGGAGTGCACTGCCAGAGGAGGTGGTGGAGGTGGATACAATAGCAATGTTTAAAAGGCATCATGACAGATATATGAATTGGCCAGAAATAGAAGGATAAGGACCATATAGTAAAGGCTTTTGGTTTAGAAAAGCATCATCTGTTGGTGCAGAGATATTAGGAACTGCCAATGCTGGAGTCTGAGATAACAAGGTGTGGAGCTGGATGAACACAGCAGGCCAGGCAGCATCTGAGGAGCAGGAAAGCTGACGTTTCGGGTCTGGACCCTTCTTCAGAAAATTGGTGCACTCTTGGTGGTCCGAAGGGCCTATTCCTGTGCTGTCCTGTTCTATGAAAATCCTCCTTTTTCTTTGGAGTTAAAAACCAGTCTTAGTTACAGCGACCATGAAACTATTATCAATTGTTATAAATAAAACCAAACAATTTGGTTCACTATTGTCCTTGTTGGAAAGAAATTGGCCAATCTGGGTACCTTAAGTATGACTCCGGGCCATACTGCAACGTGATTGGCTCTTACTTTCAGGCCACACAGTTCAAGGGCAGTTAGGAATGGGCAACAAAAGCTGGCCTTGCTGGTGACAACCATATCCCATGAAATAATATATTTTTTCAGAAATTAGTTACAAGGTTATTTCACACTGACTGTGCTAAGGATGGCACATCAAGACCTAGTTCAATTGTACTGATACTATTTTTAAAATGTGACCCTCAAAGCAAATGTTGGAAGACAGCATAGTTAAATACCAATGGTAGTGAATTCTTCTCTATGTCCAAAGTATGATGTGTTAGGTTATTAGGATTAGAATAGAACTAAAAGTTTGTTCTACATCTCTTGCTTCTGCTTAATGGAACAATTTGAGAAAAATATTAAATTGTTTGATAAAATAACTTCAATTAATCAGAATGCATTCAAATTTTCAGGTTGGTTTAAAAGTGCTTAGTAAATGCTAAGTTGCACTCATTAATTAGTAAATATATTCCCATTACATCATAGAGGTCTGTTTTTAAATATGTACTATTATAATAGCATGGATGCCTTTTCATCGAGAGGATGCAGACTTTAACCTTAAACTATGTTTTGTTTGGTGCAAATTTGACATCTCACTCAGATTGGCCAAATACATGATATTAGTGAGAAATAGAAAAAATCCAAGACCAGACTTATTACTGCTCCTATGATGCTGCTTGGCCTGCTGTGTTCATCCAGCCCTGCACCTTGTTGTCTCGGATTCTCCAGCATCTGCAGTTCCTACTATCTCTGATTCAATTATTACTGAAGTGATGCTTTATACTTAGCATCTAGTGTTGGGAATCAAGAAAAGATTAACATTGTTCTCCATTAACAATATTGATAAAGGATATATTCCATTATGACTGCAGTTTCGGTTTTTGGCATACAATCAGGCACAGACTTCACAAGATCTTGTTTTCCAGAGAGAGGTGGATAACACAAACTGGCAGCAATTACCTTGAAAGGACTTTGTCTATGTTGCATCAGGCTGTTTTGTTTG